CCGGCCGACCTGGGCCCAGAGCCGCGCCAGCCCCAAATAACACACTGAGACTCTGTATTAGATATAATTCTGTTGGCCAGTTACTAGTTTCTTATTGGCTAGCTCTGTCTTAAATATTAATCTATTCTATTAATCTAAGTATTTCCCCATGGTCTTATCTTACCAGAGAGAGGGGCTGACATTGTGCTCTTTCCTCCATGTTGAATCTCCTCCCTACTCCTTCTGGAATCCTCCTTGTCTCCTAGTCCTGCCTATCTTGCTTTCCTATTGGCCAACAGTGTTTTATTCATTAACCAATAAGAGAAACATATATACAGAATGACATCTCCCATCAGGTCATTTTTTTTTTCACTTTCTTTTAATCTTTGATTGGACATCTAGTCCTTTAGTATGTATTACCAACCTTGTCTCCAACATACCTAAATGTGAGCACTTCTTTCTATTTCCTAGAATTGTGCTGGCTCCACTTCCTCTTTGCATGGTCTTTGTTTGCATGGTTTACCATAGGTTCTTTTAACTAATCTAGAATTTTCCCAACTCTTACCATAGTTCACAAACCCATATACGTTCTTGCCAAGAGACAATCTTCTTTTTTGTTCTGTAATATCAAACTTATTTAGCTAAGCTGGGGTCAAATGCAATCTCCAAGTAGTTACTTACAGTACCCTTTATCAATTCTCATTTTAAAACCCTGTTTTTTACTTCCTAATAGCTCTTTCACTACGTTTCAAATATTTTTCACTTTATTTGTTTAGTTCTCTTCTTCAATAGAATTTAAATTTCATGAGCATATGTTTCATTCATGGCCAAATGTCAAATATTTGAAACAGATTTAATCCACATGACAGGCACTCAAAGATAATTCTTGAATACATTGATTAACATTTTGTACATAGTATAAACGTTTCATTACAAAACAAGAAGGAAGCTAAATGGAAGAAAAATGGGAACATGATTTTGAAGATTTGACTGAACCAATGCCTATCCCATACAATTCATTGAAAGAAAATAAAAGTTAATCAGATTCTTTGGACCCATCAATTAATTAATTTGTCCATGTTATACTTATTAAAATACCCTGTATTTTCTTGAAAAATTATGATTAGTGATAAAAGTGAAAGAGCAATAAATTTAAAAGTTAACATCTATGATGTCCAAGACTTTTCTGCTTTATTGATGACTCTCGCTGGAGTTTAGTACTCTTTAATAATAACAAGACAGCCAAATTTCAACTATAAGAATTAAATTAAAAAAACAGTATTAACTTGAAAATTTGTAATTAAAGGTACCCTTAAATGAGTCACATAGCTGAACCCAGAGCATCCCCTTTACAACTGCATTTATGATATAGCTATTGCTTGTCTATTGATTGCATTTAATTCTTAAAATTCTTTTGTAAGAGAGTAAGAACATTCAGGCACTCATTAACACACAGATTAAATAAAAAATGTAAATCTCTACACATGGCTTATCTGACTTCTTATTCCCCATTAACTACCAAGAAAATTGAAATTTGTCAGACTGCTACTAAATAACCTATCTGAAAAGCCAGGGGATCTGAGTGCTTTAAGAGTTATTTTGATACAATTATTTCTGGTCTACCATGGTTAAGCCGAAATTACAAAATTTTACCAAATATTATGCAGATTTCATAAGCTAACCTTATGGTGGCATTTTCCCAGTACTAATTAATTATCCACTATGGTAGCTACAGTGGTATCAGATTTAGTGCTAACAATCAATGGCACTGTGTTTACATTGGTTGGTATTTTCCACTATGTTAACCTCATGGATAACAATGTTTTCTGTTTTACTAGCCCCTTTAGATAGGATGCCTGTAGACTAAGACAACAACATGGATGCTTCAAAGTCATGCCTAGTTCTTGTTAAGGAACTCAGTACCAGACACTATGATGACCCGATACATGAAAATATTAGATATGGGTATACAATATACATTGAGTTTTGAAGTGATTTCATATTTATAAAATGTCAATAACCTATATAAGGTTTTGTTTTTCCTTCAGCTATGTAGTTACATGTTTGTATTTTGAGATAGGGTCTTGTCTTAGTATCTAAATTGCTGTGAAGAGACACTATGACCAAGGCAACCCTTATAAAAGAAAACATTAAATTGGGGACTTACAGTTTCAGAGAGTCAGTCAATTATCAAAATGGAAGGGAGCATGGTGGTATGCATGGCACTGGAACTGTGGCTGAGAACAACTTCCTGATCCACAGGCAAAAAGGCAGAGAAAAAGTGGCCTTGGCATGGGCTTGTTAAACCTCCAAGCCTACCCCTAGTGACACACTTCCTCCAACAAGACCACACTTCCTAAACCTTCCAATCCTTTCAAACAGTCTCATTCCCTGGTAGCTAAACATTCATATATATGAACCTCTGGTGTGTGTGTACGTGTGTGCATGCTTGCATGTGTGTGTGTGATTCTTATTCAGACTGCCAGAGGTCCCAAATGGACCAGGCTGGCCTCACCTTTAATTTTGTATCACTTGCTTCTAATTCTCAAGTGCAAGGACTGTGAGTGTGCAACAATACACCAGTTTTTTCTTTTTTCTTTTTAACCTTATGGTACTGAACCAGGGCTTTGTGTATATCAAGAAACCACTCTATCAACTGAGCTACACTCTCAGCCCAGCTGTATAGCTTTTCATTGATTTTCACATTACATCTAGTATTGCATACATACAAAATTAAAACATTTTCTCTATATAATTTTTGTGTTGGAAAACATCATCTTATTTCTACCAAGTTTTTGTTTTATAAAATTTAAGTAAAGAGTGACTTATTGAAATTTTGCAACTTGATGATCTGAGCCTGTGTAGGAAGAGACAAAACTATTACTATTGTTTAAAGGCTAGATGCATATGAAATAGAATAAGACATAAAATGTCTTCCAGTGCTGATTACACCTGTGATCAGAACACTTTGAAGGCAAAGGCAAGAGGATTATGGAACTTTGAAAACATACATAGCAAGTTCCTAGCAGCCAGGGCCACACAGTGAGATCTAGTCACAAAACAAACTAAAACAACACAGTGCCTTCTAAAAGACACACATTCCTCAATGACTGCCAACTAACAGTGGCACAGCACCTCACCCAGTGCTCACCCGATGGCACATTCTTTACTAGGTGATGTCTACAGCTCAATAAGGGCCCTGAGCTCTACAAATGGCAACCTTGGTAAAGTTAAGATGCCACTAAACTATAAATCCTCTTCTTGCCATTGTCTGCAATCACAATTTCTATTCACCAATGGTTCCTGACCACCTTTAGCTCTCCTTCCATCTTTTGTCCTCTGTCAGCTTATGTTTTATGCCTTCCTTACAGGATTCACCTAATAGCTGATCTTTGGGCTCTTGGAGGATTCTCTGACTTGCTTTGGTTTTATTTCTTTGCTTAGAGTCACTAAATATTCCAGCTTTGCTTCCATCCATATTATTTTTCTTTAAGTCCTTCAGCATTTATTTTACCTTTTAAGAAGGCTGGAGAGTTGCCTCAGTGGTTAACAGTGTTTGTGGTTCTTGCAAAGGACTTGTGTTTCATTCCCAGCACCACATGGTTGCCTACAACTCTTAGTATCTCCAGTTTCAGGCAATCGGGCACCATCCTCTGGCTGCCACAGACAACAGGCATGCACACAGTATACATACACGAAAGCAAAACAATCTCATATATATATATATATATATATATATGTCTCTCTCTCTCTCTCTCTCTCTCTCTCTATATATATATATATATATATATATATATATATATATATATATATATCTCAACCCTAAAAACAAAAACAATTTTACTTTTCATCTATTCGAGTGTCCAAAGAACTATCTGACTTATTGGTTGTTCCTGCCTCTTCCTTTACCTATGTGGCTGTAACTCCATCCCTGACTGGTTTCATCTCTAGAAGGAAGTGTCCTAAAACTGCTTTCAGCTGCCTCTCTTTGGACAGAAACCTTAAAGCACCTCATAGATTCTAACAGCTCCCCCAAAGCCTGAGAAGCATTTTCATCAACACATTCCACTAGATCAAAGGCTTCATTCAACTTTATTTCTGGAAGTCAATATATAAAGGTGGTTTTACCTAAGAACTCTTCAAAACGTTTCTATTTCCGACAAATTCTACAGAATAAAATCAGTCTTTGCTTATCTGTAAACATTTCAATAACCCGAAGTGCTTAGTCAATCTGTATGTTTCTACATTTTTACAGAAATACTATATTCAAGCCAAATGGGTGTGTTTACTGGTCACTAACCATACCATTTACATGCCACCACAGACTTTCAGATGAACCTTACAGGTACCTCCAAGTCCAATCCAAGTTCCCACTGTCCAGCCATTTGATAGTTTTCACTTGTCCTGTAGTATCAACTCCATAATCAGAAAAGAACTATAGTCTCCTTTCCCTCTTACATGTAGGAATTGTTTTCATTGTTCTTGTATTTATTTTTGGGTATTTATCCTTTGTCTTTCTACTTAACACTACATTTGTTTAAAGGCAAGGATCTTAGTTTCAAAACTACAGCTTTATTACACTGTTTTTAGTACAGCGATTTAAGTATAATAGAGGTCTAAGTTTTGCTTTTAATTTGTAGGAGTTAATGATCCTGTACAAGTATATGACTTTTCTAATGGAGTTGTTCATGTAACTGAAGGTACAATCAATTTTACACAAACTAAGAAATTTTGTGACAAAAATTCTCACAACTATTTTGTTAAAACAAAACAAAACAAACAAAAAACAAGCAAACAAACAAACAAACAAACAAAAAACAACTTTACTGGGCAATAAATCCTTAACAGAGTTTCTTCTTTATCATTCTTTAACTTGTTCACTACTTCTCTAACTATATAACCACATAAGAGAAAGCAGGGAGGTAGAAATGAGATAAGTAGTTATTTTGATGATTTCTAGCCTTTGTTGCTGTGTCTCAGTCTGGGAATGTGGGGGCATTAAGAGGCAAAAACAGTCTTACCAAAGTCTGCAAACGCTGACTGTCCAACCACCACTAGGTTTTTAGGTTTTTCAAAGACACTACTGATAGAGAAGTTTCCACCCTGTCAAAGCCAAAACATTTTCAATTAGGACATCGCAACGCATTCATCTGTCAAGTGGAAAACTGAAGAGAAACTTAATTTAATCCTTTTGTTGTTTCTCTAAAGTCATCCTGATTTCCTACCCACTTTTATTATCAGAGAAGCCACAGTGAGCCACAAAGACACACGTGTGACATGCTTGTTCTTTTCGACTGTCTCATGATGCTTCTCATCCTTGCTCTGCATCCTACATCTCTAGTCAGCTCTGTGAATGACTCTTCTAAATTGTGGGTTATTTTTTGCTCTATTAGCCATTTCCTTTGTCCTTTCTGTTTCTGTGATAGAATCACAACACAAGTTACCATATGGATATTCTACCTTCTCATGCTACCCTTCGTCATCCACTCCCCACATTTTACTCTAAGTAACTCATCCTTTGCCTAGGTTACTGTCAATCCATGTTACTGTACCATTTCCAGGTTTTCTTTATGAAGCTACCTAGTGTGGAACAGTAGCCACAGTAACGGGGTAATAAATCATCTAATAGTTTCTTAATAGATTATTATCCAATTATTTAGTTTAGACGTCAAGACCATACTAATCTTGTCTAAAGCAGCTTTGCTAATCTTGCTTTTCAATATTCCTTTCTTCTTCTGGGTCAACCTGGCTTGCTTCTTGTCTCTGAATACATTTGGTGACTTTTGAACACTCTACTTCTTGCCTGTCTCTTCTGCTCTAACTTCCTGTCATTAAAACCCTACTATCCAGAGGGCAGAGAGGGTAAAAGGGAGGGAAGGAGGGAGAGAGGGCTGGGGGAGAGGGAGGGAGGGAGGGGGAACTGGGATCGACATGTAAAATAATAAATTAAATTAAAAAAAATGCTTTGACTCCAAAATTTAAGTTGAAGGACAAGTTACTGGAGAAAAGGATTTCTATTTTTGTTTCCACAGAAAATGAAAAGATGTGGATTCCTTCCAGACTAATGTGGTTTGATCATGCCAGACCGCCTGAAACAGAGTACAAGCTAATCCTACATTCAAAACAGCTGGACAAAACAGCCCTACAGACTACAGCCAGGATATCCGAATCTTCTTCGAATGCCCCCAAGACAGCGCACCAGCAGGAAGTAGTTTGGAAAGAACGACACCCAAATTCCCAAATATTGTGTATAAATGTTTGTTTTCATTTAATTGGACTTTGTTATATAAAATTAAATAAAAAAAAGTCAAAAAAAAAAAAAAAACCCTACTATCCATTTCAAAGGTCAAATCTTTCTTGAAGCCTCCACTACTAATGCTGGGTGGGTCGGAGAGAAGCAACTTCTCCTTGTTTTTTGGGTTCTGTAATATAAGGTTCAATCTCTTGTCACATCTCCTAGTGAGTAGTCACTGGTATACTGGCCTTGGCTGTCCTTCTGGACCACACATCTGGATTTTCCAGAGCCCGATCACTGAGCTGAGCATGCATAATGCCCTAGAAAGGACATGTTAAAGCTTCAGTGTTCTGCTCGTTACTGTGGTTTTATACATTTGAGGTTCTCTTTGGTCAACTGATATATTATTGTAAAGTACTTGAACAATCTTTCACTGATTGAGTTAGTTTTCAAAATATATTTCGGTTCATTTATCTTAGTGAAATACTCAGTGAATACTGCCAGGGAGTCTCTCTTTGTGTAATTTCTGGTAGGCTCTTTTAAGAATTCTACTTAGCCCAAACTTAGCCTTTCATCTCTATTCTTACAAAATTACAAAAATGTAACTATTTAGGTTAGTCAGAATCCCCTTTTCCTTCAGTTAACAATAGCTCTGCCCGATTGGAGCTAGGATCCTGTTAGGTGAGTTCAGACAAAGATCATCCTTTCCTCTTAGTAACGTTATTCCTTTCTTCCTTGGCTATAAAAATTTAACCTAGAGATTGGAGAGAAGGCCTTACTCCAAGTGACTTGACAGATTTAGATGACCCCTACTGGAAGGCATCGCCCTACATGTGGAGTGGAGTGGGGGGTGAGTGGGAGGGTATTTGGTAGGGGGTGAGAGAGTGGGAGAGAGGAAAATAGGGAGGGAGGGAGGAAGAGGAACTGGGATGGATATGTAAAACAAACAAAAGAGTATTAAACCCCTTTTTAAAGTTACCACTACCATTTCTATGTATTCTTTTGAGAACTGCCTGTTTAGATGCACAGCTCATTTTTAAATAAGTTGTTCATTTGTTTATGGTTTTTTTTTTTGGGTGCTTTGTAAATTGTATCTACTAATTCACTGAATGATGTATAGCTGGCAAAGATTTTTCTCCCATTAAACTGGCTACCTCTCTGGTCAGGGAAAAATGTTTTTTTTTTTTTTTTTTTCACCTTTTTGTATTTTGGAGTCTAATATTCTTGTCCCTACATCATAGCCTCATTGTAAACAGTCTCCCTAAACCAAATCTGTCTTTCCTTCGTTAGCAAGTATTTTAATTAAAAAGATTTTGTGTTTAAAAAAAAAAACCTTTTAATTTGTATTATATATAGGGGTGTTCTGCCTGCAAATACATCTGTGTATTACATGCATGCAGTGCTTGTGGAGACCACAGGTAGCACTGTGTCACTTAGGACTGGAGTTGTGAGCCACCCACCATGTGGGTGCTAAGATCTGAACTCAAACCCAGGGTCCTTGGAAGAGTACCTGTGCTCTTAACAGCTGAGTGATCTCTTTAGCTCCCTGGGTATTTTATTTTTGATTTTTTGCTTGAGGCAGGGTCTCTCACATAGCCTTGGCTGGCCTGGAATGTGCCATGTAGAGCAGGCTGGCCTCCACTCACAGAGATATCTGGGCCTCAGCCTCCCAAGTGCTGGGATTAAAGAAATGTGTCACCATGACTAGCTTTTTATCCAAGTGTTTGGATAATTTTTACTTGAATGGTTATTCTTTAACCCTGACACTTTATTAAAAGAACTTATTTTATGTTAATAAAAATATTTGTTTTCTTCAAAGGAAAAAAATGTTAAAGAAAAAAGATTTCAATCAAGAATCTGTATTCTTCATGAACCTTTTCTGCTGTAGAATGAGAGGATCCTATGCATGTAAAACTGTTTCATAATCTCATATACAAATTCTACTTATTTGTATCAAGGCTTGCCTGTCCATCCCTGGTATGAACTAATCAAACAACCCAGGTGACTGACAAAGGTACCCCTGTATCTTTCTCACCTTTCCTCCCCATGAGTCACCTGGAGGCTGTGAGAGGACCCAATCCCAATTACACAGGGATCTTAGCTTCATGAGTTGTTAGCAACATCACTGGCCTTGTGATAAGAAATGACTTTATAGCAATCTCTTCCCACGAGTTTGTGCTGTACACTTTCTAAATTCTAATAAAATCTAGGGTATGGCTTTAATTTGGACTGAATAAAAGGCAACGAGATTATCAGGAGTAATTAGGTGAGAAATTAAAAAAAAATCTAAAACTAAACTTTGATTCTTACTATTCATCAATGTGCTTCCTTCTCAGACATTCTACCAAGAAGACTATTAGTCCATTTTCCACAAGGAAAGAGAATTTCGAGCTTAACTAATCTGTGACAATGTCACCAGGTTGGCCATTTTTACTGGCCTTGAATTCCACTTTCCACTATGCAGTCTGAATTCAAACTTTGGCACTTCTGATGCCTTACAGTTCAGGAATTTGTCTGTCCTATGATCTATATTAAGCAAAAAATCAAATAACGAAATTGCCTTCAAAACATTTTATTAACTATTAACACCTATAGGGAAAGACTCCTTAATCTCAGTCAACCTGGCAGTAAATTGTCAGTTGTTTTTAATTATTCTTTTAAAAATTAATTTGGGTTTTTGACACATTTATATAGGTATATAATATATTTGATTATGCTATTCCCATCCTCTCTTATCTCTCCCAATTATTGAGTTCTCTATGTAATTATGCAAGCCTAAAGGTGAGGAGAAAAAAATTACTTAAAAAAAAAAAAAAGTTCACAAATCACCAAGCTGAAAAATTAAATGTCAGTATCCCCTGTCAACAGCTGACAGGCTAGCAGGGGTCCTGTTAACACCCCCATTAGAGCAGGCTTATTGCTTTAATTGGCAGTCATGCCTATAAACCTGCAGAGGACCTGATGCTTAACAAATCATTTTCTTCAGCATTCAGTGGTTTGAGTGCAGTAATGCAAACAAATGCCCTTAATGTTGCCCTGTTTATTACTGAAACCAACCAAACGACCACAGTAATCTTATTTTATGATATTGTGTGCCCTTATGGAAAGTAAGGATTTAAAAACGCTTCAGAGAAATGATTTCTTACCATATTTTCCCATATCTCAAACTGGAAGGTATTAGAGGCAGACAATGTCGTGAGGAATAAATCTAGAAGGAAAACATATGGAGATGTAAACTTTTGTAGTCATATTGATGTATACATTTAAAAGCAAGAGAGAGTAGAATGGTTATTAATATAATTCTACCTAAACAAATTGTTTGATTACATTTTAGAAGGTTTGAACATATTTTTAAAAAGGAAGACAACCCTGAATTAGAACAACGAAGGGAAATGGACTCTTTGTTTAGAACACATTTGCTATGTGACCTTCCAAAGCAATTTGTATTTTCAGGACAATTATTTCCAGCTTTTTCTTTCTGTGTCTTTTTTGTAGAGAGGGGGATGGAATTCAGGTTCTTCCATGTCAGTAAAACACCATCTTTTACCTACAAGCCCGGTCCTAGCTTTTAAAATTACATATTTAAGATTTTAATTTTTTTTATTTCATTTTATTTTATTCAAGACAATCTCTCTATGTAGCCCTGACTGACCTATACCTTACTCTGTAGACCAGGCTGGCCTCAAACTCACAGAGATCTACCTGCCTCTGTCTCTTGAGTACTGGAATTAAATGTGTGTGCCACCACACCTGGTTCTTAAATCTTTTTATTTCATGGTTGGTATAAGGTAATATTTTCATTCCAATCATTTTACATTTTCTTTTTTTATTTTATTTAATTTTATATAACAAAGTCCAATTAAATGAAAACAAACATTTATACACAATATTTGGGAATTTGGGCGTCGTTCTTTCTAAACTACTTCCTGCTGGTAAGGGGTGCTGTCATGGGGGATTCGAAGAAGATTCAGATATCCTGGCTGTAGTCTGTAGGGCTGTTTTGTCCAGCTGTTTTGAATGTAGGATCAGCTTGTACTCTGTTTCAGGCGGCATTTTACATTTTCATCCTTAAAGACACACCTGTCTGTCACAGGATGGTCCAGCATCATGTTCAATTGTAGCATCTCAGCAACCGAAATCTTAGATCTCACAATAAGACTTATGATTCAGACTAACAGGTTTTCTTCATAAGCCTATACTATAGGAAGTAATTGCAAAGTGCACAGGTAAAAAGGTCGATAGTGAAAGCCAACATCCTCTTAATACCAAGGCCACGTGGAATGGACATCTATTTGAGGAATATGATTTATTGTTTTTATAATAGCAATTTTACCTAGTGACTATTAAAGGTCTAAAGCCTAATAGGTGATTCCTGGAATTTTAAAGTGGTTTCACTCTTATATGCTCTAAAATGGCTATTATTCACTGTGACGTGAGACCATGAATATTTTAAAGAAATACTTTCCCCCAACATGGTGCGTAGCAAACTAACAGTCACATTATTTTGTGTCAAATTTCATACAAGTTTATGAAGATGATAAATGTAATTATTATAGCTGGGTTCAATGAACATTAATTTGTTCACTCATAATTAGTTGACCTCTGATTCCTGGCTCCAGGGAGAATAATTTTTATGTCTACCCATCAAATAAATACCTCAGCATTTGCTACTATCAGGCTAAAGACACTGTCTCTAGAGGGAGAATTATAGCATTTTATGAAGATGACTGATAACTTTTATCATCACAGGCATACTTTGGGTGAGGCATTCACTTTCACATTTACCTGGCAACACTTGGGATTTGGGTGATGATATACCTACCAGCAATCTACTTTCATTTTGCTATGCATCCTCCATATTGCACTTAGAGCATTTAACAAAATGCGAAGTTGTCTTTACTCCTTTTATCCACCTTCGCACTTCCACTGGAAAGCCTTATTATCTGTTTCTCTGCTCCTTCCCCACTACTAACACAGGCATACTCTAACAGAGAAATTGCCATTTGATTTTTACCATATTCCCCCATATCTACTTGCATCTACATGTGCATTCCATTTGCACTTGCCCTTTGTTCTGGCTAGTTTTATGTCAACTTGACACAGGTGATAGTAACCTGAGAGGAGGGAACCTCAATTGAGAAAATGCCATCATAAGATTGGAATATAGTCTGTAGAGCTTTTTTAAATTAGCGTTTCATATGAGAGGACCTGGACCATTGTGGGTGGCACCGTTTTTTGGCTCCTGATCTTGGTGCTATAAGGAAGCAGGTTGAGCAAGCCATGAGGAACAAATCCATAGGCAGCACTGCTCCACGGCCTCTGCATCAGTTTCTGCCCAGTTTCCTTCCTGCCTTGACTTTCCTCAGTGGACTGTGACTTGGGATGTCACATAAATCCTTTCCTCCCCAAGTTGATTTGGCCATGGTATTTCATCAAAGAAATAACAACCTTAACTGAGATATTTTTCTACTTCAGAACCACCATGTAAATGAATTCTTCAAAATTGGTTCAAATTTCTCCCTTTCCTTCCAGATCTTTCCTTGAGGCATAGCATTTTCTCCATTGTTATTCCATGGTGACATTCTGAATTCACATATGTTTTTGAAGTTTCTTGGGGGTGGGAGTCTTGATTCTTATCTCTGTGGTTTCTATGTACTTGGAATGAGTATGTGTTCAAATTATTATTCAGCAATTAAATGAGATCGGTTGTGATGGCTAATCTTGGTTGTAAACTTGACTACATCTGAAATTAACTAAAACCCCAAAATGGATATACACATATATGAGGCATGTTTTGCTTAATTAAATCATCTGAAGAGAGAAGATTTATTTCTAATCCAGATTTTAGAAGTGGGAACATCCACCTCTAATCATGGCCACACCCTCTACTGGAAGTCTATATAAAGGACGGGAATAAGGAAGCTCCCCCCCTTCTTTTCTTCTTCTCCTCCTTTTTTTCTTCCAGATTACTCTTGCTCTCACTAGCAAGTCCATGCCTTCACTGGCATTAGAATCTACTTATTTGGGATTCTGGCATATATTGAAGACCAGCTGAGACATCTATCCTCTTGGACTGAGCAACCACTGGATTCTTGGACCTTCTATTCATAGGCAGCTATTTTGGGACTAGCTGGGGCAGAGCTTGGAAAAAAAATTCTGTTACTCTAGAGAACTCTGACTAATATACTGGTCATGGTGACTACTAAGAAGAATGAAAACAATAATGTACACAATAATGCTTTTAAATGTAAAGGGTAGTAATAGCTGGGTGGTGGTGGCCTTTAGTCCCAGCAGAGGCAGGTGGATCTCTGAGTTTGAGGCCAGCCTGGTCTACAGCTTGAGTTCCAGGACAGCCAGGAATGTACAAAGAAACCCTATCTTGAAATCCTATCTTGAAACCCTATCTCAAAAAACAAAGAAACAAAATCCCCAAAACCAAACCAACCAACCAACCAATCAGTCAACAACAAACAAACAAAAAAAAAAAAAAAGAAAGAAAGAAAAGAGGATCATTATTCACAGAGGTCTTAGAATCACTGAAGAAGCATTTGATAGAAGCTCTGAGTTACCTGAAAGCAGTAAATGCAGAAGAGAGGCACTTATGCCTCTACCACAGCACAACTGAACACAGGTCAGAGTTGTTCGGACTAAATGGCACATGCTGCTAAAATGCTGAGCCTGCTTAGTGGTAAATGAGGTAGCATTTTCCATATAAGTATCCACAGACTCATTGCAGACCTTCAAGGGCCTGGAGCTACTCTGTTACCATACATAGGAGGTAGCAGCCAGCAATTTATTGGAAGACAATTCCATTTTTTAGCTGTTACTATATGAGTCTTATAGTGACTTCATAAAAATGTGGTAAATTATGAACTTCTTGCTTTGTGCATATTTGGAAAACTTGACAACTATAACATACAGTGCTACTGTTTTATAGTTTCACTAGCTGCTTGTTAAAGCCATAGAAAGCACTAAAGCTACATGAGGAAGTGTAGTAAAGCTACATTGACGTACCTTGTAGATAATAATAATAATAATAATAATAATAATAATAATAATAAAAATCTCATTTCAGTTTTGAATTATGTAAAGAGGTTATGGAAAAACATTTACTATTTGGAGAAATAGTATAGAGATGATTAATTATTAATAACTCATTATAAGGAAGCATATTTCAGAGTGAATGAAATAACTATTAGAAAAAAATCTTTAGGATATCAGCTACAAGGCAGCGTCTTCTACATATGATGGGGAAGCTGCATCCATGAAATTGCAACAATAGCCTGTACAATGACAACACTAGCTGACATGACAAGGTGGCCTCTTACAAGGCCGTATCCCTAAAGAACTAAGGCAACCAATGTATGTGCTCAGAGAGGAAGAATCAGTCTTTTTCAGTGACAAGCCTGATAACCCTGTAGTCAGCTTTAAACAAATATACAAATGAACAACACTAGATGGACTCAAAAGGTTATATATATATACACACAAATATATATATATATATATATATATATTGTGCATTTGCATACATACACACACATATAAATAACTAGGTCATGAATTTGAAAGATCGTTGGAAGCCTTGATCATTTATTACAGAAGTAGCTGAATCCCCATTAAAAGATGGTGGAAGAGACATAAGAAAAGTTGGAAAGAGGAGAGGAAGGGATGGAAATGATATAAATTTAGTTCTTATGTATAAAATTGTAGAAGATAAATGAAAAAAAATTAGAGAATTACAAGATGGCTAAGTAGCCAATGATGATTGCCACCAAGTCTGATAACCTGAGTTTGAGTTGAAGGTCACACACGACAGAAGCAAATGACTCTAGTGAATTGTCCTCTGCCTTCCACAGGGGTGTACTCCCCCCCCCAATGTACATATAATCAATACATTTAATAAAAAAAGTTTATTCAACAAAGCAGCAAACTCTCACTCTCTCTGATGGGTAAGAGTAAATTAAACAATAGAATGAAAGGAAATACACCAAAGATAATGCTCCCAGATCACCTCTTTTTTTTTTTTTGCTTCACACACACACACACAAACACACACATATATATAAAATATTTTCTTACTGTTCCCTCTCCCTCCCTCCCATGCCCCCTGGCCCCTTCCCATCCCATTCCCCCCTCCACTCCACAGGGAGGGTGATACCTTCCAGGAGGGATCATCAAAATCTGCAAGTCATTTGGAGTAGGGAC